TGATTTTAATTTAAAATTATTGTCATTTAGGAGCTAGAGTGTTTTTATTTAATAAATATGCAGTGTGATATTTAAAAAGCTTAATTCTACTCCATCTTTTAAAACCAATGTAGAAAAATAAATAAATAAAACAAATATGCATTCAGCCCAGACATGAACATTTTTTCTCAGTAGAGTTTTTTTTTTTTTAAAAACACACAACTTCACTAATCCATAAGTAGGAGGTCACTCTAAAGAGGCTCTGTTGTCAGTCTGAAGAGCAACATGCATTCCTCAGGGCAGGCAGGGCAACTTTCATTTTGAAAATTTCAAAGCTTCAATGATCTTGACTTCTTGCTCAAAGATTTTGATTTTCCCATATCCTTATATCACAGGGGCTGCTTAACTGAATGGTTCATATTGCTCTAATATTGAGGAGTCAAATAAGTGCTCCTTCACCTTAGAGTCGAGTTTAGCCTTCATTCTGCCCCAACCAAATTGTTTTCCAAGGATCTCAGTGCCGCAGTCTGGCTGGGCACAATTCAGGAGCCACTTGTCAAAAGAAACGAACTTTATTTTTAGAACACACACACCAAACCACACAGCTCCTCAGGAAAACCTTCAGAGCCCAACTGCCACCACTGGCTTCCCACAAGGCTCTCAACCTCCCCCACTCCTCCTGCTCTTGAGGCTGATTGGCTGGGTGGCGTGGGCAGAGCCAAAAAAATTCCCCCAATGAGCAGCTCCGTGGTCTGAAAGGGCGGGGAAACAGCCCAATGAGCATCACGGCAGAGGAGCCAATCAGTTGGCAGCTAGAAGTTTGCTGGGGCCGCTGTGAGCCAATCATCAACTGGCAGCTGGAAGTTTGCTGGCAGCTGGAAGTTTGCTGGGGCCCCTTCGGCTGTGGCTCTCAACACTCAGACTCACTATGGATGCTGACCCAAGAGATCATTGGAGCATATAGTCAGGGACTGCTAGTGCCAAGTCTGGAGATAAGAAATGTCCTTTTGAAAGCAGTGAGCTCTCAATACTGGATTCAGCAGGGACAGATCAACTATTGCAGCTCTAGTAATGCTTCTGGTTTGGAGTATCTCATGGGCAAATGTCTTTGCTACGCTTGTGCATTGAGTAGGAACAATTGAGGGATAATTTCCTGCATGCAAATTTTCTCAAAAAAAAATTCAATCTGGGAGACAAAGACAGTTTGCCTTGGAGATGCACTGTGCTTTTTCTTTCTTCTCCCTTTGAGGTTACACCTAAAGAGTTGCTTGATAATAGGGATCTTCCCAAAGCAAAGCTGCTTTGGCCCCCTTGATGGTAAGGATCTACATTTAGCTCTCTGATCCTGATTTCTAGTGATCACAGGACAGTTTCTAACTAAGTAATTATGTCCTATTGTATTACCTGCAGAATTTTACCAGGGTGACTAAGGCTATAGCTTCACATGACTAAATATCTCTCCTCCAACTAAACCGTCTCATGTCTTAAAATGACCTCACTTAAGAATTACAATAAACAATCTCCCATGGTTCATTTAGTTCTCAAATTCTGTGTCTAAGCTTGTGGCTAAATGAAAGCAAACTTCTTTGTTGGCTAGAAGTTATAATTATGAATTGAAAACTGAATGCAAAGTGAAATCATAGCCTTCAACTACAGACACCAAATTCTCCACATTAAGTTGTCTTCTATCCCCGACAATTTTCTTTTTAATTAAAATGCAGCCTGATAGGCAAAATCTTGGAAACATAAAGCAGTTATGTGATTCACTCAACCATTTGTGTGCATGTGTGACCTATTTAGCTTTTAAAATCCTGTTTAATGCCAAAAACTACATTAGATAATTCAAACAGAAGCTCACAGGGAGTCCCATAATGAGACTGTTTTGATTATTCCAGTGATTAGACCATTTCCCCTCTCTCTGGAAGTTTCATTTAGAACAGTAGTCATTTTAAGAACAAGTAGATTTTTTAATCCTTTTCTAGTTTGCTGTGAAATTGGAAAGGGGCCAACCATCTGTGAAACTGCAATTATTACTATTACTTAAAATTTATCAAACCAGATCTTCAGGTATTATGCAAGTATTTCTCCTTGACCACAAAGATATAGCCAAGAAGGCAAGGAGGAGACCCCAACTTTGCACAAAAATAGGTTTTATGCCCCATGTTTCAAATTATTAGTCCAAATCATAGAAATGGTATCGTGGGCATGGTTGGAACAATACTGAGTAACAGTTTAGATCCACTGCCATAAGGCATCTATTCTTTAGCTCCTAGGAATCTCTTTCCTACCACGAGGGATATGCATTCATTCACACATGCATTTATTTGATATTCATCCTTTCTTGAAATGCATGGGCGTGCTGGCTTCCACCATAATTTATTTCTGAATAATTCCAGCAAAACTGCCTTCTTTAGTCTCCTTCTTTTGCTCTTTTTTTTTCACACGTTGCAATGAAACAGTAGTGATGACGCTTGAGATATTGCCATTGCAGCTCTTCTCCACCATCACTGGCCACAGATGATTCCAAGCAGGAACCCTAAACAGTAAGATAGGAGCTAAGGCCAGAGCTGCTCTCCAGGAATAGGAATGCAATAGTTCCATCATTGTGAGCAGGTGGTCAGCTTCATCCTGCTGTTGTACCTCAGACTGTGACATCTTAGTGGCAGGGAGATGTGGCTTCCCACTTTGTTGTCAACCTGCCATGGGAAGGGATGTACCAGTTTACCTCTTAAAGCCACCTGATCACCCTTCAGGTCCACCTGGGGTGGCCTTTCCCTGTTGTCTGGGCATAATTGTTGAAAGTGCCCACTTTCACTTAATGGATTGTGTGCTTAGCCTACTTCATGCCCTACTATAGCTCTGCATGTGTTAGGTGACCAGACACATTTTTTTTTTTTTTTTTAGCTTATACCATCAGTTTGGAACAATGAGTTCAGGAATATTACTTTCCTTTGTGTAAGTAACACCTTTATCCTGATGTGATCTTTCAAGCATTGTGGGTTTAGTTCTATTTCTAACTCCAAGACTTGGGGAAGGAGCTCATTTGCATGTTTTTACAGATGTTTATCTTATCTATACCAGCCCTTTGGCCATCCAGATGGAAGATAATCTAAGCGCCTATTCCCAGAGATCTCCTCCCTCTGATCATTAGTTTTCCTTGTTAATCAGGCTGCAGTAGTGTTTGGAGGCAATTTGTCTGGCTGTCTGAAAAGTGATGTACAATGGCTTGTCCTTTCTGTTGCTGGTCAAAGGTCACCTGGTAGGGGTCAGGCTTTCCAGCTATATTATAATGTTTTTAGAATTAAACAGTTTTGACCACATAGAGAACGAGGGTCAGAGGCCCTGCCTAGGTAGCACATAGTGAGCCTTCTATTTATGCTTTCAGGAAGGAGAAAGGGGGAAAAGGGAAGTGTGTGGGGAGAAGAAGAAATGAAAGAAAAAAGAAAGAGAGGAAATAGATTGTGTAAATAATTAAGAAGGTATAATTTGAAAACACTATTTGCAAATAAAAAGATAACTTTTGTTACTTTGCACCCCAGGCCTGAACCTGAAGGACCAAACATTGCTTTTAAATGATTTAAAACAATTCTTGAGAAGCATACATTTCGGTCAACACAGTGATTTATTCCTTTCCAAGAACAGGAATTTTGCAGAAACAAAGTCCTCAAAAATAGTAGGAAAACACACAAACAAATAAACAAGATTTTTGTCATAGACTTTCTTATTCTTGTCCTTGGAACTTATGGATTAAAAGATAGACTTCATTAAAATAAGATGTCTGAGTGCTTCCATATGCATGTTTTGCTGGGCACTGAAAATAGGTACGCTGGGTTTGATTTCAAGTCCTGTAATTTCATACAGTAAATTTGTTTTCCTGAGGAACATGAAGACAAGATAATAAATTACACCCTTTCTGCCTACTATTATATTATGTCTTTTTCTATTTTCTCTCATGCTAAGAGTTATGAAAATCATTCAAGTGCTTCCTTATCTTACCATTGCAAGAGCTTTCAAGTACTAAGAAACTCAGTTCTTTCTCTTAATTAAAATTCATTGGGGAAATGAATGGAACATGACATGTACATTTATTGTGTATGCTAATTGGACCCAAATCTTTTGGAATTGCTGGACATTTGGACATAGACTAGACTGAAATCAACTGTATTTCATCTTCCATCAAAGAGCTTACTAAGCAGAATTAAACAGTACTTAAATTTATATTTCTGAAGGAAAAATCCTTTTTAAAGAGTGAATCATATTTTTTAAGTAAATTGTGTGAAGTACATGTTCTAACTATTTATTAAAGCAGATCATGATGGATCTTGACTGAAGAGCACTTTACATAGTACTTTAAAAGCACTTGGTGTGTGGTTATTAGTTTTTTTCCTGAAAAATGAATGCTTTTAAAAAATAGTTTAAATATATGTCTCAGACACACAGTCACCTTGGCTCATTTAATTTTGAGAGACTGATTATGAATGCAAATTACAAGAAAATGTGAATGTATTTACCATCTACTCCTGGTACTTTCAGGGTTGTAGGGTGATAGCAGTTAGTGGCGGAGTGATGTTTATAAGACTCTGCAGGTTCTGAGCAGAACTGTGGGCAGTCCCTGCTTTATAAATGTCCTTCTCTGGAAGACTGCTGATCCGTGGGTCTGCTGTTGTACCAAGGGTATGCAGAACTTTCTTCTTTATGAGAAACTGTTTCTCAGGGGTAAATTTATATTGTCCTACATGTGTTTTAAACATGGGCTTAGAGGTTGTAGCCTTAGAGCTTTATTAAGTACCCTGATAAATAATTAACTTTGCAAATTACAAATGTGTTTAATTTGGCTTTCTAACCTATAGTTCTAAAACCAAGTGTGCCCTTCCTAATTTGGAAATATTTTCTTTCTGGTTTTTATTTTGACTTGTCCCCAGCTATCTACTTCGGTTGCTATTTCTAGCATCCCAGAGGAGCTGCTTCCATGGTTGTCATAGTGCAGACAAACACAAGAAAACCAAGAACTCAGTGCTTTCATAAAGCATTTATTTTTATTTGAAAACATTATACAGGCATTACATTGCCACAGCCAGTCCATAGGGGTGCATGCAAATATCAAAAATGGACAGTTTGTTCAACTCATCAGTGTAAATTTCCTTTTTGGTTCATATTTTTCATCTGCAGTGTCAGGATTAGTGTGCTTTGTTATGTGGCTTAACAATAGAATCCTACCCATGGGGTAAAATCTGTACTGGCAGCTAGCTGGGGACTACTAGATGGTTACAAATAAAAATAAACCCAAAACAAATAATACTACACGCTTGTCAAAAGGTTAATAGCACAAGTTAGCAATATCTAAACTAAACATTGAAACATTTTCATGAGACAAATTTTCAGTGGTGCAAATTTTTCCATTGCTTGGTCTCCCTTGATGTGTGTGTTTCAGAGTTTGGAGCCATGGGAAGGTGTGACCAAGGCAAGATCGGTCCCCAGTGCAAGTTTTCATTGAGGAATGAGAACCACTACTCATCTCTGGCAGGGTTTAGGAGAGCTGTGGTTTGCTCTTAATCAAATTTTATACAAGTTGCTAAAGTTTCTTTGTTGAGGAGAGAGTGGTGATGGATTGAAAAGTTGAAAGTTTTGCTGGTGTCTACTGAGGTTATGAAATCTCAGAAACTAAACGGCTAGAGTTAATATTGCCCTATTCCCATATCCCACCCCACTCCCCAAGGACCAATGTTTTCACACAAAAAAAGAATTTGTTCTTTCCTTTTTTTTCCCCCTTAAGGGTCAGTCTGGAACTTATGATTTTAGACAATTCAATGTGTTACCAGCCTTTCTAAATGGAGACAAACCAACACAGTGAGGTAACCCAGTGACATGGAAGTCTGATTACAAGGACACTGAATGATAAAGGTATACAGTGAATTCATCTTGACCTTCACACTTGGTTTCCATTCAATGGAGTCAATTAAAATATCCTATAAAATAACTCATGTGTTGACCTTTAACCATCAGTTGATTGCAAACATTTTGGAAATTTAAATTAAAAAATAATTCCAGTCCACTGAGTAGACATGGAAATAGTTTCAGCCACTTGCTTTTCATAAGACTACTAAGTGTCTACAAATTAGTGTCATAAGAATGAATTGAAGAGACAAAAACATTTGGCTTAAAATAAATACTAAAAATGCAATAAATCAAGCAAATTATGCAAACCAAAGGAATGTAAACACAAAAATAAAACCACAGTCTTTAAAGGTCTTCAGATCTGAATGGACAAAATATTCAGAGAAAGGTATTTAATTGGTTTAAAAGGTAGCAGAGAGCAGATGTTGGCAAGGGTGTTTTGATTTGATGTAACCTTAACATTTACCTTTTTCCCCCCATAGAAAATGAAACATGTTTTTAAGGGAGCTGAACTGACCCTGAAATCTACACATTAGAGAAGATCATGTTTCTTCCCGTCTCCTGGGACAGGACCATCCACACTGTGTAAGTCAGGTAAAATGGCCACAGGAGTGCTAGCAGGAGCAGGGGATAAGTTTGCCTGCCATCTTAAGGTCTTGTTCAGGCTCTACTCTGTCCTCTATGGATACCCCACTGGTGTTTTGCCTTGCTTGCTTAGGATGTATTTATTTGAATTGCCAAATTTTCATAAACATTTATACAAATCCTGATATTCCATTGAAGATTTCTTTGAATGGTATTTAGGTTAGCCAAATTCAAAGAGTACTTCACATTCTGCCACACAGAATCTATTCTAAGTTAAAGGGTTCTTTATTTCCTGTGTTTGGCAAAAAGGTTCTTCATTTCCTGTGTTTGGCAAAAAGGGCTATTTTATGGGCAACAGATTAGACTAGTGACATATCACTCAAAGCCTTATCAGGACACTGTAATATTCTCTATATCCATAAGAATGTGTGTCAATATAGTCTGTTATTGGATGGATGCCAAATATGACCATAATGCCAGACTTTTTCAATGGTGACATCATTACCACTATGAAGTGACCAGAGCAATTGAGCTATTATTAGAGATTGCTCCACATCAGCACCTTGACTTTAGGAGGTGGCATAACCAATGATACTCCACAGCAAAGATAATTTCCACGTTGGTGTACTTCAAAAAGGCTTCCATATAATTAGGAGGGCAGAGGACCATGGCTTTTTCCAGTGCCTTGAATAATTTCCACGTTATTAGTAGGGAAATCTAGGGGGGAAAATTGTTTTTGAAGCAAGGATATAGGGAGAGGATGAAAGGTTTTAAAAAACATATCTAACCCTAAACACAAATGCTATTATTTCTGGGGTTTCTCGAAAGTCACAGAAATGGAACAGTCCTTGTCCTGTTATTATGGGGACTTGATCAGCAGAATCGCATGGCACAACAGAAAGGCATGGCCTGGAGTAATCAGAGATTGAAGTATAAAAAGGCTAAAATGTTTGTTTTATATCTATTCCTAGAATAGAGAATTATATGGTCAGTTGCCCCTCCCCACAAGGGTCACAGCACAAAATACTTATTGAGCAGGCAATCCAACAGGTAACAGAGGAAACCATTAGCCACCAGGTCCCTAGGATAAGGAAACTTCTCAGGGGTGGAGCTCCTGTGGCATGCATCACTTATAGAGTCTGTGCAAAAAATAAAGTATGATTCTTAAAAAGTGGCTTGCCATAGAAAAGAGGGATTTATGTTGACTACGTGTGGGTCTGGCAATAGTTCCTATTGGGAGTACAAAACCTCCTCCTGAAAATCAGTGTAATAACAGTAACAATAATAATACAAATCATAATAACAATAATACTTGTTTTTGATTCAAAAATATTCACAATAATTAATGCAGGGGGGTTGTGATCAGGATACGCACTAGCTAGGCATCTCTCCAAGTCAGGTGGATGGGAGCCTGTGTCTCCAGTGATTTCCAGCTTGTTCCTTTTACAAGCTTTTGGAGGATTTGCTACCTTGCAGTCCACCTATGTAAACTGCACCTAATAAATACCTTTCTCTATGTACAATACAGAGATGATGGGCAAACACATGGCCACTGATCTGTCTTCAGTGGGCAGGGTGGGCCTCCCGCTAGGCCACACGAACGTGGGGTTCCTCTTCTGTCTCCTGGCCCAGGCTGGTGTAGGTGACTGAAGGCTCCACCTGAGCTGCGGTTGGTAAGTCCACAACAGGTCCTGAAGGATTGCGGAACTGCTTGTACACTCGGGGGTCCTGGGCTATGTAGGTGGAGGTGGAGGAGTACAGCACTAGCCCGATAAGGATGGTGAAGAAAGACAGGAGATAAAGTCCTGAAAACTAAAAACACAACAGCAAGGTCATTTAGCAGCCAGCGCAGAAAGACTGCCACATTAATGAAGCCCAGTGAGGCAGGAGGAGCTGCTTCCTTATGAACAGGCAGCTTGATGGGTTGGCCAATACATGTGATGAAAAGTGAATTTTCTCTTCCTATACTAGCTTGGTCTTATTGATTCCCCTTATCTTTTTCTAGACCCTGTGGCTAATAAGAGGAACACTTAGCTAATTGTCTCTAAAGTGCCAATCTAAGTACCTGGTATGTTGGGAGAGTTAGTTAAGCACAAATTAAAATACATCAAGTTAAAAGCAAAAAAAAAAAAAAAAAAAAAAAAAAAAAATCCCCAGCATCACTCAATAAAGCCTTGCTTATTTGTGGCCTCATTAAACCCAAATGAAATACAGATATTCTGTTTAGGGTTGTAATGAAGCCATAAACAAGGAACCCCTCACTGACAGCTGCATCAGGGAACTCTGGTTTCACCATAATCCAATGCAGACATTATCTATCTTTTCAGTAGGAACAACTATTGACTTTGGTAACTATCTTTTTTTTTTCCAAGATTAGATTATTCTTTGACAGGAAGAAACAGTACAACATTCCATCCCTGCCCTGCTAATCAAAAAGCAAACCAAATAGGATTGTCCAGATAGCATTCTTTACCCGAAACTGCTTGCTTGACAATTCATGGAGTTTGTGTGTGTATGTGTGTCTGTGTGTGTGTGTGTGTGTGGGGGGGAGTAATTGGTTTATACAAATCCCAAGAATTCACATATTCTTGAAAAATTACAACTTTGGGACTTTCTCGAGCAGTTATACTGGAAGTACTTGAGTAGTCACTAGGGGAGATAAGGGAACAAGATGAGTGTTTTCATTTTTCTTGTTTCACTCCTTCATTCAATGAATATTTCTTGCAATGTCTTCTCTGTATCAAACATTGAATTATATTCTGAGGAAAGAGAAATGAAAAATATGGCTGGTCTTGACCACCAAGGCCTTAAGAGTCTCACTGGAGAAACAGAGGCACAGACACACAAAAGCAATACAACACACTTATAGAGAGTCAAGGCTCATTTCAGTCAATAGCTATTATTCCAGTCTTGACCACTTCCTGTATCCACGGGAGAAAGGGATCAATTTTATTTCCTACTGTATTGTTTATGCTCAATTCTGGAAGAAATAACAACTGATAAAAAGAGAAAAATTCATTGGGGGCTGGAAGAAAGGAGAATAGGAAAATGACCCAGTAGGTTGTGAGGCTAAAATAAAGAGCTAAAAAAAATAGCTATAAATTGTGGTTCAATAATAGGAAAGGCAGTCTTGCAATATGACACAGAAAAAAGGTATCTCTGTAGCTAAAAGTCTTTGCCACACTGTTTGTTCACTTTTTTGCTTTCTGCAGGAACAAGGTTGCTAAGACTGAAGGTCTGATTTTCTTTCTATAGCAGTCCTTGCCCTGACCCCCAACTCCTTTATTTTTCACATTCCAACCAAATGATGACACTTCATCAGATGGATTTATGTACTAGACTCAGCTTGAAATAGCTTCACTTAATTAACTTGAAATAATTAATTCAGTTTTCCCCAAAGAAATGTGCCTAATTCTTTGATTCGTGAATTTGTCAAATAAAATGATCAGGAAAGAAGATCGTTAACTCAGAAAGCCTACTTAACCCCAAATTTGCTTCCTGAAATTCTATATTCAAGAGCTTCACCCTTTATCAGGAACTTTAGTACATTAAATGGGTTCATTCCCAACATTATAAGATCACTTCAAATATTTTGTAAATGACTTTCACTTTCAAAACTCTATGTGTGTCTTTTCAGGTCAAGTATGAAACTTTGCATGGTCTCAGGTATGAGCCTGCCTCTCTTCTAGCAGATGGAGGTAGAGAGATTAAGAATGGGAGCTCATTCCCACCACCAAACTGGAATCATAGCTTTATTCCTTTCTAGCTATAACCATGGAAAATTTTCTTAAGTTTTCCAGGTCCAAGCTTCCTTGTAATCAAGGGCCCCTACTGTGTAGGAGGTTATAAAGATCAAGTAAGATAAAGCCTGAAAAGCACTTATCACAGTACCTATCTTGTAGCAGTCATTCTGTTGGTTTCATTGTTGTTGCTATTGTTTTTGTACCACTTAAAAGGACATGGAATCATAAGATTGAGTGAAAAATCCACCAGAGAGTGCTTTCTTGTGCCACAGCTTTGGAACAACAACACATATTGTATTTCCAATGCATTTCTATTTAATTCATACAGAATTCCCTCTAAGATTGCTCTAAAGATAGATGGCATGAAATTTTATACAACAGTGGCATCTTGGAAGTTACCCAAGAAATTTATTATTAGATGGTAGAGAAAGTTTTCACTTCCCCCAAAAGGGAGCAGACAGACAAGCATCATGATGAATCAGGATAAATTCTGAACATTACAAATGGTGACAGAAAGTCCTGATGTTTTAAAACAAGAAAGGTTTTCATCTCCCCCCCCCCATTTCTTTTCATTTTAACAATACAAAAGGAAATTTAATTAGGGTACCTGATAGAATGACCCCCAGTTCTGGATAGGTGCATTTATCTTGTACAGCATTCGTTTGAAAAACCATTCAACAAAAGTTTTGTGCAGTCTAGGCTGCTTAATTTGTTAACTGCAAAGACATTCTTATTTCTCCTTTCTCAAGCAAAGAGGATAGGAACACTCAGTGAGGACTGAAAGCTCTCTCAACGTTTCAGAAAAGGCAAGATTTGGGGGAGGCTTGTCTCCACTGAGGGGCTGCTCTCTGAATATACTGTGTGGTCATTCCCTCAACCAAATGTAGCCCTCAGAATATGCTGTATGTTCCGAGATACAGGCACATGACAGCCTGCATTTTATCTGCACATAAGTCTGGAGAAACTGGGAAAGAATGAGCCTTATGTTAACATTACCACTCTTCAGACAATGTTTGCTTTGCTGCATTTTCCATTTCGATAGGTCTTTGTGAAAAAAAGGTCAGAAAATGCTACCGTAAATGAGAATTTCTGTGTGTTGCTTAAAATAATTTGATCGGGATACAATTCATTGTAAAGGAGGTGACTTGGAAGGCTGATAATAAGTCTGTACAAACTCTTTAACTTCCAACTAGGAGTTAAACCTAGCTTTTAGACAGCTGGCATGTCAATATGGTTGCTATTTAATTAATGTGGTATTTGGCACATCATTAAAGACAGACAAAATTTTCATTTTATTTTTGGCATTAAACATCTAAGTTGAATTTTAATAAACTAAAGACTTCAATGGACTTAAACCTAAACAAGTAGAATAATCACATGGTTTGAAAGTCATTTTTCCAAGTACATTTATAAATATATCAACTATGATATGTGAGGAAGAGAGCAATTTTTTAAGGGCAGCTTTCTTTTTCTTGCTTGACTAAAAACAGCAGTGGTTGGCAGAGGAGAACATGGGCAATCCTCAGAGGGGAATAAAGTGAACTAGGAAGGGAAACTCATTTAAGCTGAACTTTTATTGACTTGTAAACATCAGCTACTTGGTATGGTAGGCTTGGTTTGACCTTATTTCCTGGCAAGTGCACCTTAAAGGAGACCGTTTATGGTATATGCTTCTGTGAACTATAGGTTCTTGATGTTGGACTTGGGTCATTTTTGCTAAATAAGTGCTTGTACTTATTAACGATGAGAACTAACTGTTGATTTAATGGATAATAAAAAACTCAAGACTTAGCTCTTACAAACAGGCATATGACAGTTTATATATCTTAAAGATTCAGTGGAAAAAAGAAACTGTTACTCATGACAGCGTTTAAGGATTGGGAAAGAGTACTCAGTGAGTTTTCTTAGGAAAGGGGGAAAGGGAAATCTGAGTGGAGAAAAGCTCCTGGAGTTATTTGAGAAAAAAGGACAGATCTAGACCTACCTTGAAGAGTCAAGGAAGCTCAAGAGATAATACAATAGAAGGCAGGGTCAGATTAGAAAGAGAAACGATATATGTAAAAAAAAAACACACAAAAAAACCAAAAAACTATATATCCAGGAAGAAAGAGGACTGCAGAATTGGATTTAAAAAGTGTGTTCTGTCTTTTGTTTACCTTTTTTGAAAAAGTGTTTTGAGAATTTAATGTACAATTTTTTTTTAAATAGACGTCATTCTTAGAGCAGTTTTAGATTCACAGCAAAACTGAGCAGAAAGTAGGAAGAGAGGAAGAGTCTTCAGGTAGCCCTGAACATGTTTATACAGTCTTTACCAGGATCACAATGCACCTTTGTGCCACACAAACTTACACTGAAACCTCCTGATTACCCAAAGTGCAACACACACCACTGTGTGTGCTCCTACTGCTGACCTGATGCCTTCTGAACTTGCATTTCAATAATGAACACTTGTTTTTCTGGACAGAAGGGGAGGAGTCTGATGGAACATTATCATTGTTGGCATCTTATGCACCACAGATGAATGAAGGGCAATGCTTTCCAGCCCCCAAGTGTTCCCAAGTCTATCTATTGATGAGTAGGGGAAGGAAAGACCAAGCACCTCACACCATGGCTCAAGGACAATGCTATTGTTAAAATTCTAAGAACATATTGCCTGTTGGTTCTCTATTTGATCTAAGTCTACCACTGAAAGAAGCATACCATTTGGAAATGCAATAATGCTAACAGTTGAAACTTGTTCCTGAACTGCTTAAGGAGGCACAACAGAAATGATGTTAAGGATATTTCTAGATTTATTAGAAATTTCTAAGCATTATTCTAAGTGTTATGGTTTGGATATGAAATGTACCCCAAGGGCTCATGTGTGAAGAGCATGGTCCCCAAATGCAGCAATTTGGGAAGGTGATTGGATTACAGGTTCTGATCTAATCAGTGGGCTAATCTACTGATGGATTCATAATTTGGTGGCTTTATTGGGAGGTGGTGGAAACTGTAGGAGTTGGGTCTAGTTGGAGGAAGTAGGTTACTGGGGTGTGCACTGAACCAACAGACTATGGACTAAAACCTCTG